GGGATTGGAAACTGGCATTGGGGATCCTTTATTCTTTTTCTTCTTCTACAAAAACAGAAAAGAAAAAAAAGAGGGGTCTTAGGTTTGACTTTGACTTTGGGATCTCTGCCGCCGCCACCGCAGCAGCCACCGCCTTGGGCGATATCTGGGCATGGGTTTGTGCATGGACTTAGACGCCGACACCGCCGATAATGATGAAGGTGTTGGCGATGATGATGCTGATGACGCGAATGCGCCACAGTCAAAAGTTAAAGCTCCACCTTAGCACCGCGCCGGAACCCGCTCAACACGCCCCCTTTTGGCCAGCTTTAATCTTTGCTTTATGGACAGGCTTAAAGGGTAAGTGAATGCGCTGCAGGCATGGTTTTTGGGTGGGTTATTAGGTGGGTTAAAGGCAAATGAGATATAGATTTATGATGTGTTTAAGTCAAAGATTTGTAGATTAATAATATTATTAAATAAAAACAAACTTTAATGTTAAATTAAATGAAATTTATGAAAAAAGTTTCTTAACTACAAAATTAAACCTTGTAATTTTCTTAATAATTACAGCTCAAAAGTGCTAAACCAACCATGTTGATCACCAAAGAAAGCCAATCTAATCCCATCTTAAGAGATACCCCATTGATACCTCCTTTCATTGTAGGGCATTCCAAGGGGCTGTGCGACTGGCGCCGGTTTTGCGATGCGCCGCCACTGCCGCCGCTGCTGCTAAATGGGATCAGTTTTGGTAACGAGTTAACGAGTTGATTTCACTCCAGCGATTGCTGCTGCCGCCGTCGAACCGGATTAGCAGTTGCATCCCCTCTGACCACCCGATCATCTACTCTACAATCCACCATCCAGTAACCAAGATCCAACATTCAACAAGCCACCATCCACCGACCGGCGACCGGCTCCATCTTTGTCTGCCGCGGTCGTCTGTGCGGTGGCCATGGCCAATGTCTACACAACAAGGTGACGGCTCATAATGACGGGCCATGGCCAAGAACGTGAGCATGGATGGGCCGGGCTGCCATGGATCGGCTGGGATCAAATCGCGTTGCGTTGAGGCGTTTGCACCTCCCATGGATGAGTCGTCGTCGTCGTCGCCCGGGTTCCCGTTCCCTTTGGCCAAAGCACGGTGAGAAAAGTTTCTTCCTAATTTAAGATTGTTTTTTTGGTAAGTCAAAAAAGATATCTTTATAGGAAAATTTATATCCTAAGATAGATTTCTTGATATATCTTTCTTATTTCTTAATTTATATCACTAACTTATTCTCTGACTTTTTCTCGCAGTGCACTTCTGTGTCTTTGATGGTCGCTCCATATGCATCCATCTTCCATCCCCCTTACGTCGACGCTCCTGTTCCTCTTCCTGTTGCTGCTGCTGCTGCTGCTGCTGCTGGCTCCGTTTTCGGGGCTTTGTCAAGGGGCGTTACCCGGTGATCATCACGCATTTGCGAAGAGCAGTCGCAGTCGCAGTTGCCGACGCCGCCGCCACCACCGCCCTCTACCTCCTCTACCGCATACCTCTACAGCCTCTGCCCCCGCCGGTGTTGGCTTAATGGGTGTTATTTTGTTTTGCCGTAAATATTTTTGCAATGGGCGCTAATTAAGTTTGGCTCTTTGGCTCTTTTTGGGCTCTTTTGACTGCATCCTATGCACTTTGTTATGTGTGAAACTTTTAAATTTTCGTTGGGTCGGCAAAGATGAAAACCGCCGTGTGGTATCCACCTCAAATTGGCGGGCATTAAAGGGTCCCGCTGCTGTTGCTACCCCCTCATCTTAGGTTCAGACTCAAGTTTAGGTTCAGGTTCAGGTTCAGGTCCATCCCCATCCCATAGCAGGAAGTATCAATATGGCTAGGCTATTAATCTGCAATTGCAAATTGCTCATACGCCACGTGGTGTGTGAGTAGTCTATGAATGAACCGGAATGTGTATAATAATGATGATGATGATGATGATGAGTTCAAAATGTGTTTAGCCCTGACACTGCAGCCAATTTCATTAGCCGTAAAATATTTGGTATTGTTTTCTCAGCCCCAGCCCGGCCTGGCAATTTCGCTGCTTTTATGACTCACTTTCACCGCCGCCGCGCTTTATTCTCCTTCTGCTTCTGACTTGTGGCAGCAACAACAGCAGCAGCAGCTTTTTTTAGTTGCTGTTTCAAATCGATTGGCCAATAAATTAGCATTATGCGGTTACAGCCAAATACAAATTCCATTTTGCTGACTAAACGAACAGCATCTGTATGTAGAGTTCAAAGTTTAAAGTTTTCTTTATCAAAAAACTAAAATGGCAAGGCAAAGTTATTTCCAAAGATTGCAAATCACAAGAAATTATATCATTATTGGGGAATTTTTGGGGGGCATATTGGATTTTTTTTATGCCCACTCATTCTTCACGTACGTGGCTTTGATAAAATTGCGATCACTTGACGTTGCTAGAAAGTTGAACTCATAGGCGCTCCTCCTATCGTGGGAAAAACTCCGGAAGTTGGATGGGTTTCCTATTGTATTAGTTTAGGCAGAGATTAGTTTGGGTTAGAAACATAAATTAAAGTTGAATTTTTGTTATATTTTTTAAAGTTAATTAACATTTCTGATTGCTGGAAAGTTTTAAGAGTTTAAGATGAGGTTTCCTTTTAGGAAAGAAGAAGTATCATGTTTTCTCTCAAAAAACTTCTCTTAAATGTATAATAAATATTCCTAGAAAATCTAACACAAATATGTGTGATTAACCTTATAAAATGATTAACCCTTTAATAGTCATTCCATTATTTGAAATATTTCAATGTAATTTAAGGCCAATTAACTAAAAACTTTCTAGAAACATATTAGCATAGGTTACCTACAATCTCGAAATACTTCTAATAAGCCACTTAAAATGTTACATTAACTAAATATTTAAGTTGTTAGTATTGAAGAAAGTTCTTCCCCTTTAGCTTTTCATTATGGAAAAACTACTCAAGTTCAATTACGTGTTACTATACCTTCCATTCAAGCAAAAGTTTTCATTCAAGTTTTTCCCCCAGCGGCCAAATCATGTGAAAAATCTCTCAACTAAGCTAAATATTTCCACTGCATTCACTTGGCATGGAAACTATATATACTATATATATATATACTATATATAAGACATTCAATTTGCATTTATTGCAATCTCGTTCCGAGAGTTTCCCATGTGCCGTATGCGTGTCTCATTTTCCCCCCCACATGATCGTTTGCAAAAGACGTCAAATATTACTCATACGCCACCGACACTGATACAGATATAGAGATAGAGATATAGAGAAACTGACACTGCTAACCACCACCACCAGTCATCGCCATCGGTCGGCTGTCATGCATTAGCCATTAGGGTTTTACACTAACGCCACCGAATGGCAGTCAAAGCGACAAAAAATATTTGATTGCGATAATATTATTATATATTAGGCAGTACAAAGAGATACAGTGATACAGTGATACTTCTAATATGTATACAATAACTGTTTTTTGGTCAAAATTAAAAATAACTTGGGAAATCGGTAACCGCCAATTGGACAGATCAATAACGATAAGCCAAAGTCAAAGCCAAAAGATAGGCGATCCGTACCAGGGTGTTCGACACAATAGTTTAAAAATAGCTTGGCCCAATCATTGACAATATACCCGTCTACAGTTTCTATGTGTGTGTGTGTGTCTGATTGACCGCCCGCCATGGGCGTTTTGAATGTCGAAAGGGGAGTGGCAAACGGAGCGGTAAAAAATTTTTTGGAGACGTCGCCGCTTGCTATGAGTAACGATGAGTGCTCAATTACCTTGCGATTGATCATGTTTCTTTTTGGCGCGCAGTGAAATTTAGATCGCTTTTCTGTCTGTCTGTTTGCCACGCCTCCGCCGCCGCCGCCGTCGACGTCCCAGCTTCTCTTACCCCTCCTTCCCTATGTTAGGCATCCGCATTCTGCAAACAGAGCAACGGATCAAGCAGCGTATTGAGCGGCAATCATGAATGAATCGCTGTGTTTGCAAGCGTGAGAGCTCGACTCTTGTGTCGTCATTGACGGTCGTCGTTGTCGTTGTCGGCCGACGGGGCGTATGAGTAATATTCTTGTGAAATTGAACGGAAATAACTGAAATTCATGCCAGCCGCGCCATATAGTATTTGCGGGGGTTACAACCGGAGAATCGGAATTGGCATCGAAATCGGAATAGCAATCGGAAGTACTGACTGGCGGTCGGCATCGAGTGAAAGTCATTCGATAAGAGCCAAGTTAATAGCCTCTATCTCAGTTCCAGAGACCGGCAAATGACATGTGTTTTTTGTTTATCGGTGAGCGGGCTCTCCCATTCTCTCACCCGCTCGCTCGCTGCTGCGCTGGCATACAAACCCATTTGGTGTGTTCTCCCTAGTCTAAAGGCCTTATCTGGCCAAGATCGTGGTCCCACCTAACGATCGATCAACCAACTTACTTCCACTCTCCCCGATTATGTGTCATCCCAGTAATATACTCGTATATATATATCTATATCTATATATTAAAAGGAGCGTTAATTTGCAATGAGTTTCGTATTGAGTGTATTTCCCATTGTGTTGAAAATCTAGCTGTGGCCTAATCAATTACTAAATGGTTTTTTGTCAAGCCCATTAACTGATTGGGGTTATATGGGCCATAAATCTATTACGTTGGCCTGTTATCAAAGCCTTAGAAACTATTTATTAATAGTTGACTAATGTTACTTGTAATATATTTATTAGTTAGGGTGTTATTTTGGATTTTTTTTAATATTATTTCATATTTACGAAGAACTTAAAAGGAAATTTCGTAAGATATTTAATTTAGAACTTTAGCTTAGTCACTTTAATGATGTTATGACGTCTTAAAAACTAAGTTTGTGATTAATATTCCATAACAAAAAACTATTTATACTTCATAAGTATTTATTTAGAATTTTATAACTATTTTTTAAGCATTTTTTTTAATAATTTAAAACTTTGCCAAACTTTTCTAAGAAGTTTTTTATATTTTTCCCTGACAAAACTCCCGAAAATTCCTATTAAATCTTTCTAGAAGTTACTCTTTCCTTTACAGACACCTTTATAGGGTATCACTTGGCCTATACCCTTGCCATTTAAGCCTTGTATTGAGTTCTCAACCGCTCAGCTGTGTTCTTTTATGGCTTTGTTTTTGGCACAACTCAAACGGCGAATGTTTTGAGCGCTTTTCTTGCGCTGCCCCTTTTTGTTTGCGTTTTTGTTTTTGTGATTTTTTTTTATTAATTTTTTTTTCTGCTTTTTTTTTTTAGAGATTGCAAACACTCATGACGGCCGCCGGTCGACAAGCCGATATACACTCACTCCCGCCCGAGAGAGTGGCTCTCCCTGTCCCTGTCCCACCCCATAACGCTGACGCTTTGGCCGTCTCTCTTGCGCTCACAGCACGGCTGAAGCTTCTGAAGCGAGGCGAGCGGTCGATCCGTCAGTTTGGGCGTCCGCCTCCTCATTAGTATGCTCATAGTAACTGAGGAGTTCACTACGTCTTGCTACGCCGGCCCCAAAAAACGAAAAAAACCATATAGAGCTGCATGCGAAAAATAAGTTGGCAAAAAAAAAATATAGCAGCAGCAGCAGCAGCAACAGGAGAAGAAGAAGAAGAAGTAACACAAAAAAAAAAAACAAAAACAAAACTTAAGTCAAGACGAGGAGAAGAAAGCCACTCCAATCCACTCTCGGCATCGCTCTCCACCGGCGAGAAATCGACAGCGACTTGGGCTTCAACTTCGATCGGATCGGAATCAAATCATACCGGACAGTCGAAGGCAGCGCGTCGACACTTAACGCGATAGTTCCTCAAATCGGAGATATAAAAATCTATATAAAAAGAAAACCAAAAAATCAAAAAACAAAAACATAAACTTTTAAGATATATTTTGCCAAGTGTTGTCCGCGTTTGCAAAATTTTATATTTTTTTCGACTTCTTTTTTTTTTTGGCATTCTGGAAGCTTCTTCCTTCCGGTTATTACAAAAAACAAACACAAGAACTATTGCAAGAAACTTCCAGCAATTAGTTAGTTGGCCAAAACCAAAAGTGTCTCTGTGTGTGTGTTAGTGTTAGTGCATATGCGTGTGCGTGTATTACAGCCAAGTACGAGAATTTGTGCGGAATTATCAGCCAACGATTTTTATGTAAATGGTAAGTAAAAGTCACTATTAGAGGGGGGAATTTTTCCTTAGCTTTGTTTGGGTTTTTTGCTGTTTTTTGTTTCTTTTTTTTTTGTTTTTGGCCTGGCTAGGAAGAGAACGCAGCCGGCCAGAGCGTGCCTGGTTTGTTGATAAGTACATATATAGTACAGGTGTCTGGGACAGTTGTTCTGGCCAGACAGAGAATGTCTGTAATGGTCAGAAAGCTGTCACGTAGCCCACTTGTGATGAAATTGAAGGGAAGGGTGGGAAAAAGTTGAAGGGTTTTTGGTTTTTTTTTTATCAACTTTTAAGGGGCAACTCCAGCTTCCCCTGATGATGAGTAGCAGCAGCATCAGCAGCAGCATTTATGAATCACAGTCTCTCCCTGATAGTCATTAAAAATAAGTAATAGTATATGGATCATTGGACCACTTTTTGAAAATGAATCAGAGGGTTTTTTGAGATATTATAATTAGGGAGAATCCTAAGAAGTTTTGGGGAAATTATGACAGTTTTGAAGGCTTTTGCATAACTTTTTGGTGAGACTAAGAGTTGGGTTTTTGATTTATCCAAAAATTTATTTTATCTGGAAGTTTAAGTTATCTAAGAAAAGGGAGGGAAAAGGAAAGCCTTTAAGGGAGGTCTTTAAGGAAAGTCTTTGAGGAGAGCCTTTAGGAAAGACTTTAAGGAAAGGCTAGAAAGAAAGTCTTTAAGGAAAGTTATTAAAGAAAGACTTTAAGGAGAGCCTTTAAGGAGATCCTTTAAGAAGAATCTGTAAGGAGAGCCTTCAAGGAAAGTCTTTAAGGAAAGCCTTTAAGAAAAGTCTTTAAGGAGAGCCTTTAAGGAGAGCCTTTAAGGAGAGCCTTCAAGGAAAGCCTTTAAAGGAAGCCTTTAAGGAAAGCCTTTAAGAAGAGCCTTCATGAAAACCCTTTCAGCAAACCACTTAAAACACCTCCTTAAACATGAGACTTTCCTAAGACCTTTCTGATATCTTTTCGTAACATTTTGGTTCTTCCGATTTGGCCAAAAACCTTTTCATCAACCAAGAAAAAACAAAAAAAAAAAAAAAACACAAAAACAAAATATGAAAAGAGCGAAACATGTGAAATTAATTTACACGTTCCAAGCGGCGGGGGTTGGGGGTGCTGGTGCTGACGGTGTTGCTGCTGATGCGTCAGCGATGGTGGCAACAAGCGACAGCGTTTTGGTAATGGACAAGGTCCGGGCCAAGGGACGGTGGCGATAAAGCCAAAAGCCAAAGCAAGTGTAAGAGCAAGGGAGATAGCTAGAGCCGAAGCATGGCAATTTCACAAAACTTTGCAAGAAGTCAAGTTCGTTGACCATGTTTAGTGTATATATATATATCTGTATAGTTATATATATAGAAAGAGATATATAGTAGTTACGCGTGGAGGTAACAGAGCCTACCCCACCAGCAGCAGCGCCACCTGGCAGTGACAGTGCCAGCAATCAGCAGTCAGTCGGTCGGTCGACCTCCAAACCACGATGATTCAGCCAGAAAATGCGGCCAAATAAAGAAATTTATTTTTAATTTTAAATAATTATGTCAGCGAGATAAAGACAGCAATAGCTAACACAGGCCAAAAACGATAACAATAACAAATCAGAAATCACAAATCACAAATCACGCACGCTTCGGGCCCCCCAAACAATTGCGATTAAAAACTGTCTGTCCAGTGGGAATCCCCTTGTGAAACAGTCAGTCGCCCCCACTCACACACACTTACGTACGTAAATAGCCAGACTTTTCGGTTTATATTCAGGCAAAAAGTTGGCCAGGCCAGAGATAATATATAACCAGTTGGTTCAGTTGGGCCGTTAGTCTTGACTTATGGTAATTGCTCCCTCGACGGGAAAGATATTTTGGCCATCGTTTGCCTTGCCTTGCCACCAAGCCCTCATTTTGGCCAAGAGAAGGAGATATAAATAACTGAAAATCAGCTAGACATATTGGGTATTAACTAATATTAATATATATAACCTGTTCGCGGTTCAGACTTTTCTTATGCTAAACAGGCAGACGCGTGTCTAGGTTTTGACGTCAAGAAGAGTTAAGGTGAAACTTTTGTTTGGGAAAACAAACTTAAGGGCTTCATTTTTTGGAATATTTAATTAATATTTTTTTTGGTTTTTTTAAACAGACGACAGCTGCCCGCCCGCTCGACGTCAGCAGGAGCAGGAGCAGCGGTGGTAGCGGCAACAAGACGGCGAACACAACGACATCAACGGAACCGCAGCCGCAACCGCAGCCGTCCGTGGATCGACGACGTCTGAACAGGATCTGGTTGTTGGTCATCTTAGCTTTTACCATGTCCCAACTTACCAGCGGCGGTGGCGGTTGCGGTGTCTCAGCTGCCCCCATCACAGAATCTAATGCCACAAATAGTAGCAGCAACAGCAGCAGCAGCAGTAGTTCAAATCCCTTGAAGCATCTACAGAAGCGTTCACAGGCTGTCAACTTCCGGATGTACTTCCAGCAGAAGCTCAATGCCAGCAGTGTGCATAGGGATTGGGAGAACACGTGTGGCCATAAGCCAACGGGCCTGAATGAGACGCACAACAAGGCGAAGCGCTGCAAGAAGAGGCAAATGGTGAGTTTCTATAAAACTAAGCATAATCTAAGGATTTCTTCTAACTTTCAGATATCTTCTTCTTACAGATTCTTCAGAAACTGCAGAGCCAAACTGGCCGGGAACTGAAGAGTGTCCAGGGCGAGGACAAGGCCAGGACCACCACCAACTCAGATCACATGGCCGGCGTTCGGATAAAGGCCCTGGATATTAGTAATAAGCATAAATGGGTCCTGCACAAAGTCAACTATAAGTTTCTGCCACGTCTGAATATTAGCAGTCAACAGGTTAGTTACTAACTAAAGTTAGTTAAGATCATCGGAAGTTTTGGGAACTCGAAAGTCACTCTGAACATAATCAGATCATTGGGATCATTGGGATCATGGATCATGGATCATTTACAAACATCAAACACTCGTGGCGGCTTCCTCTTCTGTTGCCAGGGAGCTGAAGGTGATAAAATGATATAAATAAAAAGAGGGTCACGTGAGGCGTCCGACGACCGCCCGTCCGCCTGCGTAGGTGCAAACAGACCGTCACAAGTTTTAAATGGCGAGTGGAACGACGACGAGCGGCGGTCATATGAGTCCGCGTTTGAGTTCGAATCCGAGGAATCGTGCTGTTAGCAGCGAGAGGGGTTACTAAAGTTTCAACTAAAACTTACAAAACTAAACTTAAAACTTAGATTTTGTGAAGACAAAAAGGAAAACCATCGAAAGGTTTTCTAAATGAGAAAAGTTGAAAGTTAGAACTCGAAAGCTATCTTAAACAGAAACTTATCAACCACACCTCGCTTGATTCGTCAGCATTAGCCGGCATTTCGGGACGCCCCATTAACCATCGATTTGCATTGGCCAAAAAAAAAACAGCAATAACAATAGGTAACACGAGGGAAAACATTAGCAATCGATGCCATAACCACATTAAGATTAAGACCAAATTGACGGCGCGCGCGCGCGCGTTTTATTTTATTTTTTCTTTTCCCCCAAAAATTGTTTATACAGAAACCTTCTCTCCTTCCCTCTTCCCTTCCCCTGGGAACTCCAGGCCTTGATCTCGGCAAATCACGTTTTTATGGCTAACCCGTAAATTTGGATCAATCCGAATTGAAGCCGTATCGTAGCGCGGGCAGAGTAGCTTGAAACGAAAAACATGAAACCGAAACCGAAACCGAAATTGAAGCTTCTCGTTTCGAAGTGGTTAATTCGTTGCACAAACAAAACAAATCCAAGCGGCACATTCTATTTGCCAAAAGTAAACAAAAACAACAACAACAGCAGACCAGAACAGAACAGAAGCTAATCAAATCGATATCTGAATTATTATAGTTAACTATCGATGGATATATGGAAAATTATGAAGTTCTTTTTGTGATTCGTTTGGGTTTTAATAGAGTGAAACCATTTATTTAGTAAAGGCAAATTAGAAGGCTGGCTGTTTGGGCTTGGGAATTTGGAAATATTTTCGCCCTGGCATGGGGAAATGAGCAAACCCAGCTGAGGGAAAACCCAAAAGTGACCGATAAGCTAGTAGTGAATAATGTTAGGTGGGTTAGGTGGGGCAAAGGCAAGGTAATGGGTAATGGGTAATGGATAGTAGGGAGTGTACTTAACACTGTCGCCTGCAGGAATGTAGAAAAACGCAGTTTTCGTGGAATAAATTATTAACTAAACCCGGTTGCCGCCAGCTTATCAGAGCGACGACGAGTGCAAGTCAATAATAAGTGACCAATCGAAGGGTTGAAATCTAGACGAGGGTCGCTTAAAATTCAAATGTGTTAATTTCAAGATATCCGGGAAAGTTTTGAGTTGGACAGATTAATCTGCAGATAACCAGATGTGGTTAGTCTCACTTGGCAAGCTCATAAACTGTGCTTTATGGCTGGCTGGGTGGTGGGTGTTGGGCCGGAAAGAAGGCTTAAAACAGCTTGAAGACTGAAGACCACACAAAACAGCCAAGTCATCTCAACTCAGCCAAAAGTCATGATCCAGAGTTCAGGCATTTTGTTATCTCAAAGGTCGGAGTTTTAAGTTGATTTGGGTTTTTTTTGTTTTTGTTTTTTTTTTTTTATTACTCGTTCTGCTAAACTTAGCCAACGCCATCATAATGGTAGTCATCATCATCACCTTCACTCCATTCATACATTTAGCAAATCACTCAATCGGCTATTCAGGGCGATGAGCAAAGATTGGCTTAAGGTGAAATTTCTCAATTGTCGTCATAGTTTGTGGGGAAAAGTACCTAAGACAGGTTTATACACTGAAAGAAAACGAGATATTAGTTAAGGGAAAATAAGTTTGAGATTTAAAACTGAGAAGTTTATAGGTTTAACATATTAGTTTAGCTTTTTTTCTATAAGCTTTAGTTAGACCTTTGAGATCTTACCTTTCTCTCACTGGATTAGCCTAGGGAACTTGCCACTCCGGGATGTGTGTCAATATTTGGCCAATATCATCGGCTACGTCAATGCCAATTGTGCCAACTAATTGTTGACATCGCCAAGCGGAACGGAACTCAGATCGGAAACCAATACGATGACGAGGTGTCAAGAGACGAGACTGATAGAAGAGCTCTATTTATAGGCACATCGCTTTTTTTTTCGATACCAAGAAACGGCGGCCTTTTGACGTCACATTAAGCATATTTGCAAAATATTCGCACATATTCTCAAATAAAAAAAAAAGAAAATAAATACAAAAAACAAATCGCTGATAGCGCCAGGGGCTTGGGGATCGGAAGAAGTTTAACGATAAACGATGTTTGAGCAGTTTTCAACGCTCATTTATTGTAAATGACACACTCGCGCGGTTAGCTGCCTTGACGCGACGTTACGATGGGAGACGGAAGAGTGTTTTGGGGGGGGGTATACATACGTATACGTGATATGTGATTCATGCCCAGAGTGCCGTGGATTCCCCCGAAACCGAATAAGCAAGCAAGCGAGCAAGAGCGCGGCATGAATGAAACCGAAGACCCGAGACCACGAATACGTCACGACCGAACGTACGAACGACCGAAGCCGAAGCTTAGCCGAGGTACCACCAAAAACAGTTACACGAGAGTCAGAGAGAGAGAGAGTTAGAGAGAGAGAGCGTGTTGAGGGAGAGCATTCGGCTTTCGATTTTCACTTTCAGCTAATAAGGTTTTTGGGGAGTACAGGGGGTTGGAAGATGATGAAGAGGAGAAGGAGGGGGAGGTGTTGGGATCGCAGAGGAAGCAGCGCAGCCAGCTTGAGTTCAATCAACCCAAAATCGAACTATAGGAACTATATATATGACATATTAGCACTATATACTCGTCTATATATAAGCCATATAGATAGTGAAACAGCATGTTGGCATAGCCCAGTGCTCAATGGCTTCTAAGACTTTAATTTTACAAGTTCATAATGGAGTTTTTATCATAGGAATCAAGAAACTATAGTATTTTATGGGTGTTTTCTATATCAAAAAACTATAAAACTGATGACCTTGAAAGCTCTTTTTTAGGAAGTTAAGATCAGATATTGAAGTATTTAGATATATATCAACTTTTGCTTTATCATTTTATGACTTATGTTTTCAAAATTAACAATAAAAGGGAGATATACTGATGAGGATAATGTAGATGTTTGTAGCTTAGATTCCAATTTTAAGCAACTTTCTCTAAGAATTTCCAGGCCAATCACGACTAAAAACCTTCAAACATCAACCAAAAATCATCACATTGCCAGCATCACATCCATAAAGGATATAATTTCTAACACCAACTAAAACTAATCCCAAACCCCAATCTTTTCTTTTACCCCTTCCAGCTGAATCTACGCCATGTTCACCGTGACCTTCAGATCTATGTCGGAGCCTTTACCTATCTGCGCAACGTTAACCTGCACTGGGACTTGGCCAATTTGCAGGCCAAAAGTGTGCTCTCCGACGAGCTGGATCGAATGCGAAAGTCAGCCAGGGATATGCTTTGCAGCGTTGAGGAGGCCATCAATTTAACCAACCTGCTATATGCACCAAATCGCCAGAGGGCGCAAAAGCAGCTGGGTCAAAAGAAACGACGGCAGGCACAGCCTGTGGTGACCTATAAGATCTTGCCGCGTCACCTGATGGAGAAACGTTTGCAGCAGTTCAAGTCGCCGCTAGTACAGCTACATCAGCAGGCAACATTGGCGGCGCGAGGAGAAGATGTGCCACCACCCCAGGATACCAATGATCTGGAAAAAGATGCATTATTTGCCAAATTGAAGTTTGTTCAGTACATGAAGAGTGTTCGGAAGATACTAAGCAGTCAGCGAAAGAATCTGTGTAAGGTGCGGACTCTGAAAATGGATCAGAAGCAGAAGCTAAGCCAGAACTAGATCAAAAAATAAGAAAAAAAGAAAAGAAAAGCTAAAGGAAACAAACCGGTGAAACCTCCATTCCACAAAAAAAAAAAAACGAGGCTCATTCCATGAAAAAACAACATCCTTAATTTATTGAAAAACATCCTTAATCTATATATATATATATATTTATTACTCATGCCACACATTATATACCTGTCACGAATCACGAGGAATCCCAAAAAGATAGACAATCCCAAGGCTATGAAAAAATGATGAGAAAAATGATGAAACTGAACTATGAAAAAACCGAATAAGCAAAAAGAACAACTAACCACCAAGCCGAATGAAGATACTTTTGATATCTTAACTAACTATCTTATTATTTTATTTAATTTTTTTTTTTTTTTTTTTGCCTAACTCTAAGTGCCCATTGTATTATTTATTATAAATAACTCGCCAAAAAAAAAAAAAAGAAAAGATAAACCACAGAGAGAAAATCTGCCGCACATTCCGCTAGTTAGTAAGATATACTTTGCCTTGTATTACGATGCTGTGATAGTAGTTGATTAAAAATAAACACAACGCTCCATTATGGCCACAAACTATATATAATATATATATATCTCCCGACTATATACACACACAAACACAAACACAAACACACCGATATATACGATTATACACCTCTAATGTAACTTTAGCTTTTGTTTTAAGTCTAAACAAGTTAGAAATCAAATACAAAAAGAAAAAAAAACAATTTAAAGTACAAAAAGTAGAGAAGAGTTGAAGTTTTTATATAGCTAATGATATGGGTGGTCGATTCTGGCGGATGTTACACCTCCCCACCCCCCTCATCCAGCTGGCGCCATATCAATTACACTTTAAAAAGAATCTAATATATATATTCCCACCAAAATTGCTCATACGCAGTGTGTTGTTCCTTGTTTAAAGAAAAGAAAAAATCAAGAAGAGAGTTATAAAAACACAAAACAAAAAGTGCCCAAACAATTTTCTCCGTTTTTACGAGCGACTTTAATTGCAGCAGAATTACGCGGCATTTATAGACTTGTTCAAATATTTTATGAGCCATATAATAATTCTCTCCCCTCGGGGTCACCTTTTGTCCCTTCTTCTTTTTTGTCAGCTGCATCACACCGCTTATAGACACACACACCATCGTTGTTTTAACGACACGAAAATGTTTGTCGCCGCTCTTGGGTATTCGCGCTGGATTCATTCTGAGTTCTTCGTTCTACGTTCTCTGTTCTCCCTTCTTAAAGATCAACCTCAACCTCAAATCTCCATCCGTGGCTTATCGTTGGTCCGGAATCTAAGCGCGCACCTTTTGCGCCTTGGTCCCTGGATTTTTGATGTTCACTCCACTGCGGTTTGCCGTAGTACCCGAATCGGGTTTATCGCACACAATCAGCAATTGTCATTAATTTCGGACTCGGTGTACGTGCTCCGATTTGTCTGCCCAACGCATTGCTCCTCTCCGTCTCCGTCTCCGTCTCCAGCTCTGACTTTGACTCTGACTCTGACTCCGACTCCTTCTTGGTGACTGATTCAACAATTTAATATGTGAAAGATAGAGAGACAGAGAGGGATGCGCATGGCCATTCTCCAAGCCCAGTTAAGATGGTTATCGGCCTGATTTTATTGTGTCCTCCTCCTCCTTCTTGTCTCTTCTCTCACCCTGCCCGGCAGCCTCTGCCTCTGATCTCCGTAGCCAGATTCAAGATCCGAATAAGGCGCACATGCAACTATGCGATCCCATTCATGGCCTCCTCCTTGGATTAACCAACTACCTCTCACACTCTCTCTCTCTCTTTCTATCTTTCTCTGCTTTGCATGCAGGCTGCATGCTGCATGGTGCACATGCAACCCTTTTGTGTCCCTTTCAGGTGCACGTAGACCACATCTATCTTCAGTTTTGATAGGTTTTTATTGGCCTGACCTTTATTAAATTGAAAATTATGTCTTTCTATGAGAAATGTTGAAATTCCTTCAGCTATATCTGTCTCTTTCTGTCAGTCCGGAAACCCTTTAATGGCCTGGGTATATATGTTATCGGTGGGTTTGGTGGGAAATAAGGGTTAAGTACTTATGACCATTACGACGGGGTTTCAGTCATATAATTTTTTTTGTTAGTTTTTAGGGCCCTCAGTTTGGCACTTAAAAAACCTCAGAAATTTAACAGCTATTTATTAGTTTTTTTTATTACTTTATTATTAAGTTTTTAGATTTTGATATGAACAAGATCATTAAGGTATATATATTTATGACTTTTTTAAGTTTTTTAAATATTTTAAGCTTTACTCATGATCTTTAAGGCCAAAAACTAGAAGCCGCAACTCAATAAGCTTATTTAACCTTTTAAGTAAAGGGTATCCCTTAAGTCTATACCCTACTTAGCCCCCTTGTTGCTACTCCCCTCCTCTCCTTGGCTCCTGCTGAATGAACTTTTGCGCCTGCAACTGATCTAATCTAAATGTTCATTTTCTGTTTCTGTTTTTTTTTTTTTTGGTTTTTCTGTTTCAGTTTTTGAGTTTCTTTTTTAGTTTAGTTTTGAAATCTGAAAATTTTGTGTCCAACTCTTCCCATCACAAGTCACGTGCAGGGAACTGTTTTTTTTTTGTGTATTTTTTTTTAGGGGTTTTTTTTTAGTCTTGGTCTTGAACGCGTCGGCAATTAATTTAAAATATCTTATTTCATTTTTGTTTTCCTTCTTGTCGTCTCCCCTCCCCCCGCTCTCTTATTTTATATTTAACTTGTATTTGCTGTGTGTATTTTTGAGTTATGTTTTCCGCTGCAGATTTACTCAGATAATGGCGTTACATTTATGTGCCCTAAGTGTTCCCAAGCCGGAGAGTAGTGGTAAAGGGGAAGGAGTAGTATGAGGTAGAGTAGGGGTAGCCCACCCACTAGGGCGTGTGTCCAGTGTCCAGTATCTCCAATAGTTCCGATTGTAAAACGATTCGCGTGGAGTTTTCGATTCGCGACTCTCCCACGAACTGGAACAAAAAATAAACGCTGTCTCAGCTTATACGTCCGTCTGTGGGAAACTCGGAAGATTCTACGGGATTGAATATAGGATGAAGATAGGAGTGAAGGAGTGCGGGGTGCTAACTCCACCATTGAGGTGTTGAAATCTTCAACTCACATCGCTTGCCCAAGTTCAGCAGCTCAGCAGTTTCTCTGTTCACGGAATCGAAAGCTCTTTGGACCGCTTCTGGCTGGCCATCTGCTGTTGGGCAATCAACGCTGATGCTCCCCCACCGCCACCGTCACCGGTCAAATCTAGAAGAAATCTGTATTGTAAACATAATTGTCGAGCTGCAAAATTAGAGGTTGAATTGGACTTGCTGACGGCTGTGAAAAATCCAAAAAATTGACAGAGAAGGCCAACTCTAAAGTGCTGGAGAAGGAAAAGTGTGACATTTCCAGGAAAAACAAAAAAACATTAAGTCCAAGGAAGGTTTATTCTTAAAGATGAGGTGAGTCAAAGAGAGTTTTTTGCTTAAATATGTTTTATGAAGTTAATTTTAAAGTTTTCTTATAGAAAAAAGTTAACTTTCTGTTTTTTTTCTTCTGTTTTTCAGATTTTCTTTAACAGATTTGCAAGTTTGAAGTCTCCCAGTCCTCCAGGCTTAAACATAGTCAAGTTTCTCATAGTTACACCTACTAAAATCTTAGCTATTTACCATTTACTAACTAATATAAACACCTTTAGTCTTTTTAACACATTTAAGTTTAATTTTCCTAACCCTCTAAATCCGATTTTCCTCCTCATTTATTGGCCAGCTGTTAATCCCTGTTTAACTTTCTCCATTTGCTGGCCCTACAAAATCGGATCATTCAATAACCTTTTTGGCCAGGACATGGCCCAGTCTGGTCAGCCGTCTAAGCGGCGCCTTGGCCCAAATAAATTACGATCACTTAACAATAAGGGCGGTCTTTTCATGAGTTTTTCTTCTTTTTTGTTTTTCAGTTTTTGGCGTTTTCATGCTGCAACCTCCCGGTTTTCCGCTTAATAAGGTTGGGCAAAGGTGTTTTTTTTTTTTTGTTTTCAATTGCGAAATGGAATTCGATTGTTTGATGGCAAAAGGGAAAAGGGAAAACATTACACGAGAGGGCAGCAGCAGCAGCAACATAAAGTGACACAAATTATGAAAGAACCATGAGAGAGAGGGTAGGGTAGGGTAGGGTAGCTGAGATCCAAACGAGATCAAAGGTGACGCGCCCACTCGACCAATGGCCAATGGCCAGCAAATGACAATTGAATCGCCGCCTGCCACAGCGGGACAAAAGCGATACAAAGCGGTAGAGAAGAGGAGCGGCAGAGGAGCGTAGCAGCGTAGTAGAAGGGGGAACAAGGACGAAGGGGCAGCTGGACAAAAGTCTCGCACAATGAAGTGATCAGTGCCGGACAATGGGCGAGCGTTTTTAATTGTCAATGAATGCCCCCGGCCACATCAGCTCTTGACCTTTTGCGGCTATTTGGGAAACAGTTGCAACCCAACCTTCCCCCCTCCCCCTCCCCTAACCAGCACTTCAGCGTGCGAAAAAGGTGGCAGCGCAACTTCCCACCCAGAAGGATCAAAAGGGAAAAAAAATGAAATTCCAATGGAAGAACTCCTGGTTGATGGCCGATTTGCCGATGTCCAATAGCGACAATGGAATTGATATAATTAATGGCCAGTTTGGCGCCAGACAGAGCCCAGGGCCAGGGCGCAGAGGGCAGGGGGATATTGGCTGAGACTGAGCTGTGCACTTAGGGAAAAGGTGAGTGAGTTTCATAGCTAGCAAACTTAACTTAGCCTTACCTTAACTTAAACTACTTTTAAATCTTTTTTTTTTCCACTTTTTCTTTCAGAGTTTCCGAAACTAACACCACCCCCCCGCTTTTCCCAAGCAATTACTACAATTTTCTCGCTGTGCACATACTTTGCATCTGATGTTGGATCAGAGAAAATAAAAACAACAAAAGGAACAAAGAATTGATGAGCGTGTGCCTGCGATATCCTGGCTGGTGCCAGCTTATCGCTGGACAGGATCAGGGCGCAAACATAGGAAAGAGGAGAGTGAGATTGCAGGGCGCAAGTCAATCAGTCAAATGCGAAGGCAATCACTCAATGGGAACACACACGTACACACACACACACATACATACATACACACACTCAATGGACAACAAACAAGGAACAAGGAAAGGGCGAAGGGTGAGGTCACAATTCACAAGTGGAACGTTAAATATTGACGGAACCCCTTTTTAGGGACAAAAGGTCGCCCCCAGGACAAAAAACTTCACAGGCGAATGCGATGGTTAAATATTTGAATATGGAATCTTGGTATGTCCGCTATATAACTACACCACCATCACCAT